CCCCAAAACCCCAAAACCCCAAAACCCCAAAACCCCAAGCTGACCAATTTATAATAAATAAGGAAATATTAAAGGTAAAATAAAATGAATCTTCTACGTTTTGGGAATATTTCAAGGTGTTGTATGGGATAGGGGTTAATGGTGGTTGAGTAGATGGAGACAGAAGCACTCCTTCAGGATATTGATGTGGTGGAGGATTATGAGGAAGAGACTGAGCTCAAGGATTTTAAATGTGAGCTGTTGGATCAATATGGAGTATACCAGAAGAGATCTTGTGTAATTACTACACAGTTTATTGAGTTTTACAAGAGCGATAATAGTTCCACTCCGTGTTTTTATAATGAGATTTATAATATACAGGCGATTTATATTAACAGGAATCGAGATCACCTAGTTCTTAAAAGATCCGTCCCAAATATTGTACTGAGATGTAGAAATAAGCCAGCAAGAGTGGTGAACGCACTTAGATGTATTTATTCAGGTATGGAAACTCATACTAATTTCCTCTTAACACTCTATAGTTCTGTATGAGTCAGAGATACCAGTGTATGAGGTGAAAGAGAAAGACCTGGATATCTATCTCGATGATCCCGAGCTTCCTCCAGATCGGTACCTAGTCCCTGAAGATACAGATGAGTATGGAAGGGTAATGACTACAAGGTAAATTATGATTCTAACTTTTCAGAGAACTTATGGAAGAAGATCATCAGGATGGAATGGCAGCTAAGGTTTACTCCTCAAGCAAAAAGACTAAGATCAGCCAGATCGAGAAAAAGCCAGAAAGTAAACGTGCTCAAGAGGAATTCAAAAATATGCTTCTAGAGGAAAGTGATTCTGAAGAGGAAGCTAAATTTGGTCAGGATAATCATGAAAGTAGAGTACAGTCTTTTAATGAAGATGTTGATTATGATTCTGATGAAGATAGAGCAAATCTGATGGAAACACACTGTAAACTTACGGGAAGCCAGCTCAAATAAGTTCAGTTGCATCGCTAGGCTTGGAAAAGGAGGCTATGCAAGAGTAATCCTATGCAGAGATGATGATGGAAATCTTTTTGCAATGAAAAGGATCAGGAAAGATGTAATCCTAAAGCAGAATTTAGAGGAAAATCTCGCAGTTGAAATGAGGATTCTCTCAGAAAATCAGCATCCTTTCTTGCTATGTCTGAAGCATTGGTTCGAGTCTGATCTAAGATATTACTTCTTTTTGGAATTCATGGCAGGTAAAGATCTTAAATACCAAATGGACAAGAGAAGCCAAGGATATAAGTTATCAGAAGTCAGATTTATTGGAGCTCAGTTGATATTAGCTATTGAGCATCTTCATTCTCAGGGATACATTCACAGAGACTTAAAACCTGAAAATGTTCTTATGTCAGAAGAAGGATATGTCAAACTAGCAGATTTTGGAATTTCAGAAAAGGCAAAAGATCCTGAGACGAAGTCGAACACAGGAAGTGTGCCATGGATGTCACCGGAATTTATTCTCAACACGATGTACGGTGAAGATTACGAAATGTAGGATTTTTCTTTAATATTTAGAGGAGCAGAAGTAGACTGGTGGGCTTTTGGATTAATATTGTTTGAACTCCACTTCAAATCATTCCCATTCTTAGCCAGCTCTGTTAAGGATGTTGCAGATATGATAGTTGACTGCAATGTTGAAATCCCAGATTACTGGGAGAAAGGAAGAGATACAGATTTCAAGAATTTCAAGAAATTGCTTAAGAAACTATTGAGGAAGGATCCTGATAAAAGGTTGACAGACAGCGAAGACATTAAGAGACAACCTTTCTTTTCAAATGTAGATTTTGACAAGATTTACGGATTGTATTATGCCCCTACATATGAACCATATATCGATCCAAAGCTAGCAAAAGTACCTTAAAGCCTCATTTTTAGCTTGTTCAACGTAATGGATGTCCTGTAGGAAGAACAAGAGGGATAAATGACAAGTACAGTTTAAGGTTTATCATTAATATAGGCATGGAAGACTTCTTGAAACAGATCTACCAACAGAAATAGTTAATTTTGTCAGGAAAGGGCAACCTAGATTTGATAGAGCTCACAGAAGGGTATAATAGATTTCAATTGCATCGTACAAAATAGGGGTTTTGGGGTTTTGGGGTTTTGGGGTTTTGGGG